GGTTTGTTCCAATTTTTGTTCAATGAATTTTAAATTTTTGATGTGGAAAATGAGAACAATAGTACTTAATATTTACAAAAGTTATATAAAGAACAGTATGTAATATTTGTAGAGTACTTTGAAACCATGAATCAAGAAGGATAAAAATACCAATATTGTAATTCTGTGGCTTATATTCTGTGGTTAGAAGCATGACTTAAAACAAAGAAAGGAATGAGATAACCGAAGTAGAAGTAGCTGCCCCACCGTTCTCTTTGCCATGAATTTCCTCCTGAGTATTCATGTGTGTTCTAACTGACTTTTATTACTAGCTTTTGAGTCTGCTTCCAAGTACCTACACTCTAACACATATGGTCTAAAGCCAAGCTATACAGTGACAGTGAAAACACAAATTTTACTGGGCAAGAGGTGTATCATATTAACTATGTGAATATTATCTAGTCTTCCAAAACGGATTTCCTAGAAGTAGCTATCCAGGGGGGACAGATACATGTTTCCGGGCAATAACATTATACATACCTATGTGATTTTTCTTTGAAATGAAAAGACAGATTCTTTTGCATATCTCTGACACTTTCTCACAGTCTCTGTTTTCCAAATCAGCCTAGACCCTTTGTACTAACCTGTAATTATATTTCTCTTTCAAAATTTATATTCAGTCTGTTTCCGGTTTTGTAAATGAAAACACTGTATTTCATAGAAAGCTAACAGGCTGCTTGTTTATTGGTGGTCATCAAATAACAACAGATCTTTACTTTTAGTTATAACTTTATATACTATTCAAAATAATGAGCTAAGAGTATCTGCAGCGTGATTATTCAAGTTACTATATTAAGCCTGCATAAAAAAACTAAACCTTAGACATACCAATACTATCCTACCATTCAAGGGAAGTCCACATCAGAGCTTCACCCAAAGAAAAAATACAGTAGAATATATGAACAATTTAAATTGCCTTATTGTCCTTAGTGACTGGATCTCAAATTATTTAAAAGAAGGACCCTCAAGTGCCATTGCTGCTGACATGAAAAGTGTACTTCACTGTAGCTGACAAATGTTTGTATTTGTATTTCCATAAAAGATGCTTTCATTCTGGCATTATTAAATTTAGGGTCATATTTACTGCTTTTATCTTAAGTTCATGCTCATATTTACAGTTTTCAATTTATCTTTTACAATTCAGAAGTCTTAAATATTTTTAGATCTTTTCTGCTGTGCAGTGAAAACACACGGGACTTGGACTGACTCTAAAACCCTTGCCACATGTCTGTTTTTAATACGGTCAGCCTTTCAATAGGCTGAATTTATTGTTTAATTAGGTAGAAAGTGACAAAATACAAGTGAAATGTCATAACAGAAAATACTGACCAGCATGATTTGAAAGACAGATCATAAACGAAGCCCTCCCCTGCATTTACTCTTGGAACAACCACAAGTCCAGTCATTTAACTCAGGAGTAGGCTCCATTTGCAAACAAGTTCCTAATGAATTGCATTGCTGAAACAGCAATTGTCTCCTTGCTTGGCGGTTTATGATCATTAACACCTGTGTGCCTTGAGAGCTATAAAAGCTGTTCTGTTTGCTATGGAAACCTTGAACTGGGAAATAGGAAGGCACAAGAGTCCTTTCTGTATCTCTGCACTGGGGGCAAGATTCACAAGATGCTCATATGAAGAGACCAAGGAGAAAGAATAAACCTTTCAAGAGCTCACACTGAACTGTGTGAGTGTGTATTCATATATCTGCATTTTTCTTTAATTATTTCCACTTCTAGCACTACTCCAGCTTAAACAGAAAATGAGTATGTTCAGGTTTCTATGATTTGAAAGGCTACCAATGTAGTTTTTGAAGAGCATAAATGATTATGAGCTTGATTAAAAAAGAATAAAGGAAAGCCATAGTACAAAATAAATCTCTTGATTAGTGACAGTTGTCAAGATCTCCCGTATATTAAACAGAATTATAAACAAGATGGTATTTTTAGGAAAACAGAAATCCAGATAGCCTTAAATAGCTATATAATACAGAAAGGAATTACTCTATCTATATGATGATCTGCATAAATTTCCTGAACTCTGAAAGTTTTGAAATGTTTAGAACCAATCAAACTTTAGGGCTCTGAAATATTGCTGAATAGTAACTAAAAATCATAACTGTCTTGAACCCCAAATACTACTTCTATTATTCTAGTGCTTCAAAGTTTTATATAAATTAATGATAATTGAATCTCAGGTTCATGGTCTGGTACTTCACTGTCCCCTTAGAGGAGCTATTACCATGGTGATAAGATTGCTTAAATTAAGCTGTCTTTTTCCACAGTACTTGGCTCATTGCCAGTGCAGTGAAGGGAGATTTCAGTCCATTCAGCACAGTATTAACCTCACTGCCAACACTGCTAAATGGGTTAGAGGAACTAGAACGAAATTTGATTTTAAAAAGGAAGGAACAAGCAAATATGGAAAATACTGAAATACAAAACACGGCTAAAAAAACCCCACTTTGAAATAAAATCAAAATTAGGTAAGTTCTGATATTTAGACAGAAAACATAAAAATTCTAATGCTTAGGTAATTTAAACGCAAAACTTTACTCAAATTAAGCATGTCCAATGGTTTATCTGTGAGGGAACTGTAACAGACTATAGGGAGGATCAGAAATAATGTCTGGTAAAAATCCCTCTTTAACACCTAGTCTTTTCTTATTTGGGAATTTGACTGAAGCGGGAAAATAAATAGCAAACACCAGGAAAAAAAAAAACAAAACAAACAAAAACCTACCAAAAAAGCAAGATATAGAAACAAATACTGAGTCAACTAACAGGGTATGGAGAAAATTAAAAACCCTCCTTTAAATTGTCAGGGTTTAATACATAATCCATAAAAAGTAGTAAGCTAGGTTCAGATGAAGCTGTCAGAGATAATGACAATGTATTACACTGTAAATCATAAAATTTGAAACATTAGAGCAAAGTATCCATGCAACTTGAAAAAAAAATTATTTTAGTGAAAAGGAAGGGAATAGGCAATAGGTTGCAGGTACTTTGTTCTGGGGGAAAAGAAAAAAATCAATTTACGTAAGAGCCCAATAACGTTATCCTAAAAAAGAGAATCAATGTTTCCTCTGGTTTTATGTGGTGTGAGAGATCCTTGCAGCCTTTTTCTGGCAATGCTTACAAATTCTTTTTCTGTGTGACAATGAAATTACTGCATGTTCATAAGTCATTTCAATAAGGAATATGTTTTTTTCAAAAATGTGTGTGCATGCATACAGATAGAGCCTGCATTTGCATTTAGAGGCACATTGCAGTGCTGATGGCTGCAGCACAGTCAGTCAGCAGTTTGAGCTGTTACAGCCCCTGCAGGTACAGCTCTTCTCCAATTTCTTCATCAACAGCTATTCTATGACACATTCTCTGAAGTTTTAAAGGTGTTCCTAATTCTTATTTTCATTTAGGTTGCTTATAATCAGAATAACTGCCAGAGTTTGAGAGCTGGCCTTGGCAATGATATACATCTAGACTCTATTTTTGGCTTTGCAAAAGCTTGCGTGAACTTGAACAAATAATTTCACCTTTCCAAGTCAGTCTCCTCATTAAACAGTTGGGGTGGTAAGATGGGTCTTTACAAAACTGTTTTGCAGGTTAGTCCATGTGTATAACACCTCCAGATGAAGCACAAAATAGAATTTCTGATTTGCTCTTTTCTATAAAAATATAATAAAGTTTTACTCCACAAAAAAAAAAAAACTTTCAGAACACATACCTCAGCATATGGCTTTACTGCAGCTCTTTGCAGTCTAATCTAGGGTTTTGAATTCTAATTACACAAGAATACATGTTTAATCAGAGTATTGCAAACATTTTCAGACCTACAGAATTTTCTTTTACCTAAATATGACACATTATCATTATGAGCAGACTCATAGATTTGCTTCATTTCTGACTGTCCACAATGAACAGGATTTACAGTCACACGATTAGTTTTCCTGTTTTCCTGTTCTCTTATATTACATGCCTGTAGATAAACCCCGCAAACACATGTGCTGTTTATGGATTAACAGGAGATACAGTTGGAAGAAAAGCTCAACATGTGCATTCTGATTCTTGCCTAGTTATTACAGTAGGGAATACATTACTGTCTAAGTCTTCTTTTTTATTGCAAATGTTCCAAATTAAAAAAAAATAAAATAATCTGCTTAGACATATTAGGTATCGACATATTAGGTCGATTTGGTACCATTAAATATTTAGCACAGAAACACAGCTGCCATTGACATGTTTGCCTTTATTTTGTAGTAGTATTTTTAATGGGCAGCTAAGCATTAATGGAGAAGGAAAGCAAGAGAATCCAGATATTAGGCCAAAGTATCTGTTCAATTCTACCTGAATCATTCCCTGTTAAAGGAAGAAAAAACAAGCTGCAAGCCCTTTTTCTCTAAGGCTGTGTGGCGTACTATAGACTTCTGGGAAGTGGTGATCACAAATGTTTTTTATTACAATGTTCCCCTGCCGTATCACTTGCCTGCACAGAGGCTGCAGATACATCTTGGCAAACAGTCTCACAGATTCTACTTTCAGATTACATAGCCTTTCAGCCAGCTTCACGAGAGGCTGCAGCTAGCTACCGGAGGGTGCATGAAATCAGTTGAAACAACAACTGAATGGTAGGAATATGGCAAATAAATACTAAAATACTTATGTAATCTACATACTAAAATACCTATGTTAAAATACGTAAATAATCTACACACCTCAAGGAAATCAATGTCTTCCAAAACTTTGCAAAACACGTGCTTTTATGAGCATTAATGATCTAGATGAATAGTGCAAATAAGGCCTGACATGGCTACTTCACATGGCCTCAAATCAAAATGCATTGGGATGTCCTGAACCACAAACTTGTAATTCCCCATCGCCATCTCATGTCAACATCAGGCCTCCTCCCCATCTTTTTTTTTTTTTAACATTTGAGATATGTTGTGTACAAGAGGTTGGTCTGTACCTGGTTTCCAGCGGTATGTTGCTGTTCAATACCCAGCTGTTATGGAGATGCACCGAATCTTGTGTACTGGTGGGGGGAGTCGGGGCAGCAGGACTGGGCTGGCTGCGGGTGGTCATTGATCTTCTCTGGAGAGAATCAGCTGTGGGAGGTGGTTTTCTGGCACAGGTGCACGCATGCGGTGGTGGAGGTGGCGGCGGAAGGGGTCTGAAGGTGAACTGGTTATGTGGGCTACCAGGCATATCTGAAACAACAAAAGAAAAGGCAAAGAAACCCACAGAGGGTGAATGTTTTAAAAAGATTAAGCAAGCATGAGCATGATATAATAGTTATTGGGATTAAAGCATTGTGCTTTATCATGTTGTTAACCTAGCTGCCTGTAAAATGTTGTTGCAACGTGAAATAATTTAAAATATAATAATCCACTGAGATAAAGAATATCAGATACAGACACACACCCTCCAGCACTGTAGTCAGTAGTTCAACAAAAAAACAAAAAAGGAAAAAACCCGAAGGTGATAGAACATTCACATAATTTGTCATAGGATTTTTTGGGGAGGAGGGTAAAGAACAAATAAATCAAGTTGACATTGAATTGCAGCACAGATACCAACTGATTTCATGAGATATAATTCTCATTTAAGAACATCTGTGAAAGAAATAGATCCAACATAAGAATTAGTCTTGCACTTCAAATCAAGAGAGAAAATAATTGAGTAACTCCTACCACCTAACAAACACTTTTCATAAAACAAGGTGAACACATTTCTGCAAGTCTGTTACTGCATTTGTTAAATGAGACCTGGGAAAAGGCCCTCTTAAAGACCACCTGAAGCCCTAACGATCCAGATACCCAGAGAAAAGGTTTTATGGCAGCTAAAGGCAGATGAGCTGGCAAGGAGCTCACAGCCACTGGTCCAGGCTGTGAAGGAGATGGAGTGAAAGACGTGTGCGGTGGGTACCCGAGGCTCTGCAACCCCTGCTGCCGCTGCCCTTCGGGACCCTCAGCACTGCCCTCCAGCCCCCGAGAGGGATGCTTTAACCGCACAGTCCTGCCCCATGCTAACACTCCTACATGGCTCTAACGTGGCTCAGCCTGTGCCAGTGAGTCTGAATCCCCCTGCAAAAGACAACGAAGATACAAATATGGTGTAATGGTACTTTGAAGGGATAATAAAATCTTGTTTTCTCTACTTCCCACAAAAGTCTCCAAAGCCTCTCAGTACAGCAAGAAACACAGTTACGGAGAATTGAGGCAAGAAATTCCTTTTTAAAGGAACAATGACAAATAAGTTGCAAAGAAGATACTGATAAAAATTGCTGCCAGACTGGGTGAACTGCGAAGCTATTAACCTGAAACTCTTCCAGCTAATTTACCTCAGTGTCGAACACAGCTTTGTCCCATTTCTATGCTCACCCTCACTCTCCCTTTTACCTTAGCAGACGTCCAGTTAAATTTGCACAAAACCAGCTGGAGTGCAGCTCTGATGAACCTGCAAAAATTCCCTGCAAGGGACTGTTGTTGCCATCCATTTACAACACATGCTTTCTTTAAATTATGACATGATGCGTCTTCAAGGTGAAAGATGAAAGCGTGCCCCTTCCCTTCTTGTAATGGCTGGTGGAAAAAAAAAACCCACACTTTTTTCTCCGTGACAGTCACAATTTACCCCAACTGAAGAAACAAGGTTGTTTAGTGCTCCACATAAGCTTTTCTATGCTGCGGTAAGCAAAGCTGTCACGGATTTGGCCCAGGCTTAATCCTTTTAATTTCATTGATCTTTTATCAAGGCAGCATTCTTACAGTTGCATTAAGGTTTACGCTGTAATATTAGTTTGCATATACCAGAAAAGCATTTCTAAGCATATTAGGAAATTGGAGACCTCAGTAAATTAAATCACTGGAGTCAACAGTCCAGGACTCCGAAATAATCTGCTAAGGCACTTTCATATAATAATTAATCTCAGTAAATCCTGTATCCTGCTATTTTAGAATTGAAAGCTACCCAAATTTTGGACATAATATTTGATGTCCAGCATGCTCAAGTATTTGATCAATGACATTTCCTTACTTAGTGGTATCAATCTTAAATCCACTATACAGAAAATTTGCAGGATTATTACACATCCCATAATTTGCATGACAAGCCATTTTAATGGTTGTGCCGCTGTCCTGTTAGAAAATTGCTGATCTTTGCCAGGACACGCAGTTGAGACTCTGCAAGGTACGTCAAAAGCTATGCAGTAAATGCTGAACAGCCAAGGTGACTGCTCCTTGAGGTAAATGGGAAAAACCTGTATAATCTATATGGTAACAAATCTTTTAGTTCCCTTCTTTTCCCTTTATCTGTACTGTCCCTATCCTGTCGATAGCATGCAATTATCTGAAAAATAGTTTAGTTTGTTCCATACAATGGACTGGTTCTACTTTGTGAACCATGAAGTATTTCTGGTTGGTAGGGTACCATATATCTCCCAGTGCAATTTATCACAATACATTAACACATCAGATTTCCTGGGGGATTCCTTTTTAATTATCACACTTGTCACTCCTTCGTCCAGCTACTGGCATCACAGAAAACCTCACATCAGATTCTGAAGTATTTTGGTGATTTAAAGACAAGTCTTCTGCATCAGACCTTCACTTCAGTGAAGCACTGCAAATTCATTATGCTGAGCATCAGACTGAGTTTCCAATTAGTTTTTACAGACTTTCTAATTTGGCAAAGTTATTTTTATTTTGCTTGAAACTAAGTCTACATCTCATTAACTTTATTTTTATACCACAAAAAATGTTGCTTGAGATATAAAGCAGCATTATATCTAAATATGCACACTTACAATTCTTCAGGACTCTGAATAAACAGTAGACTCTGTAAACTAGCTTAAAGCAAAACCATTTAAATACATAAAAAGTGATATTACACAAGACACTTTGTCTAAAGCCAAGAAGATTCCAGAAATGTATGGGAGTGATAGCTATAAATTTTTATCCTGTTGCTATTGTTCAGCATAACGCTATCTGTAACAACTCCTGTTTTTATTTTTAATGGTTGCTAATAATGTTCAGGTTTTTAATTTTTTTCCCATCAAAAGTCGATGCTGGATATACAAATACAGCGTTATTTGTTTTCAGTGTGTTCACTGACATGGTAAGAAGTTTCCATTAATCTAAAAATGTAACTATAAAACATGATTTCAGCTCAAACTTTACATTTACAATAATTTGCTTCAAATCAGATTTTCATCTAAGAGGCGTCCAAGCCAGAAGAGATGCTCTTGGCCCTCACTATTGGCCTTCTCATCTGCACTTGCATTTAGCCCATTTTTTAACAGACAGAAGAGGCTGTTTAGAAAATGTCTAAATTCTTTCCCCTGAGAATTCATTATTTTTAAATAGTTCTCTCATTTCAGCACAGCGCATCTAGAACTGTGATGTTTCCTGAAAAGATGTATACAATATTCTGCTGCTTTGTTGTATATTGGATTCTAACTCGCACACTGCCCATCCACTCCACAAACTCCACTTACACTTCTCCTCCCTCCCTTTTTTTTTTATTTTTAGGGTTTTTGTTTTCATTATTCAATAATGATGTTAATTTGTTTAGCTTTTCTATTTTGAGACACCTCTCAAACTCCATGCACTCAGTCCAAAAGAGAAATGGCTGTACTGATGTTAGCTATAAACAAGAAAAACTTTCCTTGTAGTTCTGCTAGTTTGAAGGCTTTCTACTTGCTCTCCCTTTCTTCAGAGTTTGAAGGGAGGAGTTCTGCGTCTGTCCTAAATGTTTCTTCTTCTTTGGTTCTGACTCATTCTTTTGTATGGTTCTCAATCAATATCGAACACAGGCTGCTCCATGGCAGTTGTACAATGGAGTTTGGCATCCTACAGCTACGGAGCACAGACCTCAACAGCTTCTCTTCAGCTGCTGAGTTCTACTACTACTGCTTTTTCCTTTAGTAAACACTATAATTCAGATCTTGCTTTTTTACTAGGCCTCTGTTCTTCAGAAAGTGGAAAGTTAGTTAACTTGGACACTTCCCTTACTCTGCCATGTTGGTTGAGTGCTGCCATTCTGCTCAAAAGTAGACCAATGGACAAGAGCAGCATTAAGATAAACTCATTTTCCTTAAGAGTCCGGCTAAAATGCTTTTGTAACCATAAACATGTAGCCAAAGTGCTTTACAGACTGAGAAAAATGAAATAAACAGGTTTATCAACTAGTTAGCACCTGATTAAAAATCAGTTTTGAAAATAAGCTGGGCCTTTGCTGAAGTATTTTCCTAACAGTTTTGAATTACACTTTACTATACTTTTTGGATCCACATAGAAAGAAGGGGTAATTGAACTGTTTTATCATTTACTGACAAGACTACAATAGCCTGTATCGTTATTAAGCAAAGTATATAAAAGAGAATACATTAAAAAGTAATGAACCTTAAAAGGTTTGCATCTAACCTGTACAGCATCTGAGATATTTTAATTTTTTCTGTTCCTAAATTCATTATTTATTGGTATGTTGGGAGTTGTCTCAACATGTCTCAGTTGAGTGTGAATTAGCTTGCAATTCATTATTTAATGAATGAAATAACAACATATGTTCAGAGAGTTTAGTTTAGTTTATTTAAAAGTTCTATGGGTATACTGCTGCTCAGTTACAAACCAATCTGTAATTTTTTCTCAAGCAGAGATGAAGGAGCATAATGGGCACTGAAGAACTGGAAAAGATTCAGTGCAGGGAAGGCAGAGAATCTGAATGCTTAAGACTAGAGCTAAAAAGCACAGAATAAAAATTCTCAATTTTACAATGAGATTTATGGTCTGGGTGTAGACAAACTAAGAATTAGATGTAGGTATTACCATGGCAGAGTGCTGGTTCTGCTACATGTCAATGTATCTATTGATGATGTGTAAGTCTTTACACCCTTTCCTTCTATGACAAATTTAAAATTATTCTATTTCTGTGTGTGCATCAGTCACCCTACTAAGCCCTTATTAATTATTTGTTGCCTATGTCTGAATTCCTTTTATTTTTGCTAGCACATATTTTGAGGAAAGGTGAATAAAAAAAAATTGTGTATGAAATTGCTCTACTGATGTATAAATTTATGTTGTGTTTCAATAATCTATTCTACACTTGGTCCTTCTGATGTAGCTCAAACATTTAGTTGGCCTACCTTGCAAAATCCTTTGCTTCGAGAACTCTGTCAGATCACTAGGATATAAAAGTATCTAACCAGTACCTTTAATACCATTTTACCTTTAGATTGCTGTTTTGCTGTATATAACTTTTTCGCTCAGCCTTACCACACAGTAACTCTACTATAACTCTTCCAGAATGTAAAATATCAAACATCTCTAAAGAATTCTACAAACCATATGGTTTTATGCGAAATAAAGTTTATAATGTAATGAAAGCTTATAAACTAAAGGTCATATGGACTCAAAGTTTACACATGAAGTAAAAGAGATTTAGAGACCTCCAGAGACCAATACTACTTCCCATCACAGCCTACTGACTCCTGCCCACGGTGCTTTGAGCTCGCCCCTGCAGCAGCAGATTTTCCTTGCTGAGTAGGCTGGGATGGCCCCGAACGGACTGAGGGATGGAAGGACCAATTAAGCTCCGGGGATCATCAAGGGGCTCTGGGCTCTTTCTTTATCAGTATAGGTGTGCCCTCAAATAGCCACGTATATAATTTCATACAATACTGCCACTCTTTAGAGTAGAATGAACCCTACATATCATTATTTAGGCTCTGCTGAAAACACAGAGATCTTATGCCACATACTTTGAATGGCATCAATGAGCATAAAATACAACTGCATTTGCATTACAATAACGTAATGATGTCAAAGAAATTATGTATAATGCTTAAACACTCAGTCCAATGTGTTCATATGGATCCCCTTAAATGTTTCCTTTATGTTCTCAGTATCACATATGTTATCCCTTACAATTATACACACAGACACGATAACAGCTTCTAAGTCATAATCCATGGATCATTTTA